CCCACTCGACAGTTACAAACTGTTTTAAACACTGGAAGGTTAATTAATTTCTTTTGGATTTATTGAGATTTCTGGAGCAGTGAGAGCTGCTAACTTGTTGGAATCATGGGGACAGGGCTGTCTCATTAAAATTGTCATGTTTAGATTATTAGATACTGTGCTTTTCTGCAGACGACTTAAATACGTATGAAGCGGCAGAGAGGCCTTGCTGCCACGATCCTCTAAAATTCAGCCCTTTGTCGCTTTGATTCATTCTTTTTTTTTCTCCCTTTCAGGTACAACATTTTACAAATAAAATGCTACCTCTCATAACCACTCATTAAAAAATAAATTTATTAATACCAGAACTCTATTTTCACATCAAGTACAATGGGATATATTTGTACAAAAACGTTTTATAGCTAATTTTGGCTGATTTCTGTCAATTTCGGTTTTGAACTTTATTTTCAGTATTATTTATAGAACTACAATAATACTGTACAGATGGATTGAGTACTAACTGATGATGGAGTTTCATTAGCGTTTTCTTCCCGTATTTTCATTCATTCAATGATTTTAATTGGTTCCAGGTATTCCGAAAGGTGAAGCGTTTCGAACCTGGAGAACATCCACTTGCTGGTGGGAGAGGCATGGAATACGTCGTCCAAAAGATCCGGAACTTAACAGCTTCTCCATCTGATCTTGGGAGAGAAAATGTTCCGGAACTAAACCAACAAGTGTCGAACCTCATCCACCAGATGAAGGATCTCTCAAGGTACCAATACGACAGCAAGTTTCTTAAGCAAACGCGCGATGAGATTCGAACAATACTTTGGGAAGCTGAGGATGCTATTGACTCGTATCGGCTTCAGGCAGCTGTCCCGAATTCAAGGGATTGGGCTTCTACAGCTTTTCATCAGATGTCCGATTACGACATGGTGTTTAAGGATGTGGAGAGACGGATTGCTGAAGTTGGTAATAAAGTTGAGAAATTTAACAGGAAGTGCAATATCAGGCCATCGACAACTTTGATCGACCTGCAAGATATCCACCTAAGGTACTATCAAAATTCTAATCTGGTCTCAAACTGTTTTTTCTTGTTTGTTAATTATTCGGCTGTTTGTTCTTGCTCGAGGTTGCACTCTAATAAACTTAACTCTGATCTTTCTCCGCATTTCAGCATTTGATATTTTATTAATTCTATTGTTTAGACATATTCTCTCTAATCCTTATTATAAGTTATTTTGATTTCGTGCTAGATTTTTTAATTGGAATAAAAACCTTAAAAATATTTAATACTCCCTCCATTCCAAAATAAGTGTCGTTTTGGCAAAATGGAGAAATTCCAAAATAAGTGTCGTTTTCGGATTCCAATGCATTTTTTGTCAAAAATTTCCAAACATACCCTCAAAATAAACAATATTATTGGTAACATTTATTTTAATGGGGTTGGTTGAGGATATTCTAGTAATTTAATTACCCTATTTAATGTTTTCTTAAACTATGTGCAAACTCTAGAATGACACTTATTTTGGAACGGGGGAGTAATAATTAAGAGAACACACAAATATATATATATATATATATAGTTTTTTTCCAATTAAAAAGACATCCTAGGTTAAACCTAGGACGAAATCAAAATGCCTTATAATAAGGACCGGAGGGAGTAGAATTTTTCGGTTTTTTGTGAAACAATTTCGCCCTAAATTCGTTTCTATTACGTGCATAGTGAGGTAGAGGTTTGTTGCCATTATCTAGGTGGTTTTCATGTGCTCTGAAATCTTAAACATAGAATTTGAGTGTCGTGGATTACTCAACCCGAAACGACAATGCAGCTTCTCTGGATCAGAATGATCAATTGTGATAAATGCTAATTCTACTGTGATAATATAATACATTTAAATGTTCTAAATGATCAACATTTTCATCTCAGTATCAAGCTGATGCTCCTTTTAAATTTTGGTTTTGATTCTATGTGGTTTTTTTCATTCTCAAAGGCAGCCCGAGTTGAAGAAGATCGCGTAATCGGGTTTGATAAGGCTGCCTTAGATATTTTAGGACTTCTTACAGGAGGACCAGACCGTCTTGAAGTTATCTCAATAGTCGGGATGTTAGGATTGGGCAAGACCACACTAGCTAAGATGATTTACAAGAATCTTGATCTTGATTCCTTGTTCATGATTCGAGCTTTTGTGTATGTTTCCAAAGAGTTTGACAAGAGAGAAATGCTGCTCCAAATTCTAGCTTGTTTCACCAAAACAGATGATGAAGTGAGGAATATGAATGAAGAACAGTTAGAAAACCATATTTACCAATACCTGGAGAGAAAACCATATCTAATTGTATTGGATGATGTCTGCTTGACAAAAGATTGGGATAGACTTAAAAATGTTTTTCCTAGCAACCAGAACCGGTGTAGAATCCTAATAACTGCCCGTAATGTAGAAGTAGCAGAGTATGTAAATCCAAGAAATCCTGATAGTATGTATTGGTTGGATTTCTTAAGACAAGAAGAAAGTCGAGAATTGCTCAAGTGGAAGGTTTTCCAGGAAAAGGGTTGTTCTGCGCAGTTAGAAGATTTCGAGATACAGATTGTTGAAAAATGCAACGGTTCGCCCCTTGCTATAGTGGTTATTGCAGGCATTATTTCGAATCATCCAAAAAAAGTAGATTGGTGGAGACATGTGGCTAGTTGTCTAAAGGATCACAATGGTAGTGATGAAACACGAAGCACCAAGGTAATTGAACTAATGTATGAGCATTTACCAAACTATTTGAAGCCATGCTTTCTTTACCTTGGTGTGTTCCGTGAAAATTTTGAGATTCCTGTCTGGAAATTGCTGCGCTTGTGGATTTCTGAAGACCTAATACAAAACAGAAGCAATTCAGACTTGGAGGATATAGCAGAGCAGTACTTGGAAGAACTTGTGCAGAGAAGCTTGCTAGTGGTTGGACAGAGAAGGTCGAACTATAGAATAAAAACTTGTTTTATCTATAGTGAACTCCATCAGTTTTGCAAGAAAGAAGCCGCGAAAGAAAACCATTTCCAAGAGATCAAAATCGACAACCTGTCCTTTCTTTCATCCGGGGACCCAAATTTGGATCAATACCGGCGCTTTTGCATAAACAATGCCAATATTTGGGAACATGTTTCTGGAAATCCTTCAGGTAAGCGCATTCGTTCGTTCTTGACCTTTGTTAAGGATGGTACACAACTGGAGCCGAAGCTTATTTCTCGCATACCTGAGACTTTCAAGCTTCTGAAGGTATTTGAGATTCAATCCCTCGTTTTCAAAGATCTCCCTGTTGACTTGTGCCATCTTGTTCTGTTAAAATACCTAGCCATGTCCGGCAGCTTTTCAAGTCTTCCATCAGCATTATCTAGCCTGTGGAAATTGCAAACTCTGATAGTAAGTACTACTTCTAATGCCTTAGAAATTGAAGCAGACCTATCAAAAATGCTAGAATTCAGACATTTGCATACCAATTCATCAACCAAGTTGCAATCCCCCAGTAATAAAACCCCAAATGAGAATCTCCAAACACTATGCACAATATCGCCTCAAAGTTGTCAGAAACAAGTTTTAGATTGGACTCCCAAACTCAAGAAGTTGGGTATACGAGGTTCGTTGGTTGAGCTTTTTAAGGTGAGCCAAGGCCAAGGTAGTTTATTTGACAATCTCTGCAGCTCAAAAGAGTTGAGAATTTTGAAGTTGAAGAATGACAATGGTACCTCCAAGCAGCCACTAAATCTTCCTTCAGAGAAAAGTTTCCCAAAACAGTTGACAAAACTGACTTTGGTTAATACCTTTTTGGAATGGGATGAGATGTCTACACTAGGGAAGTTGGAGAATCTTGAAACTCTCAAGCTAGGAGAATTTGCATTCAGGGGAAGATTGTGGCACACAAAATCAGGAGGATTTCTCCATCTGAAACACTTGCATATTGGACAGATGGATTTGGTGGTATGGGAGGCCCAAGCATATGATTTTCCAATGCTGGAGAGTCTTGAACTCAATGGTTGCGACAAGCTTCGAGGGGTTCCTTATGGTTTGGCAGATATTCCAAGTCTCCAATCAGTGGTTCTTCGCGGCACCAATTCTGAAGTGGCTAACTCATTCAGGAGGTTTCATGTAGAGAAGCTTGTGCAAGCCACAAGAGTAAAGAAGCAAAACTTCTTTAAGGTTTCTGCTCACCTCTAGGTTCATTGATTTATGAACAACACATCTGGTGGAGCTTCTTTCCAGGTTAGTTGTTTTCTTTTCGGTACAAATGAAACTTATCTGACAAATTTTTACTTATTTATTCATATGTTTAGTGTGGAATTTCAAGCCCTAATGATCTTTTTAACTTATTTATTCATATGTTCAGTGTGGAATCTCAAGCCCTAATGATCTTTTGGGTGAAATAGGTGGATTGAAAAGCATCTTTGTATGGTCTATTGAGTACGTGTGAAAGAATACATCTTGAAATCAGCTCCCTGGCTAATTGTTTTGGCCTTGAAGCAATCATTTTATTCGGATTTTATATCCTACAAAACAATTCCTATAAATAGATGATCAAATTAAATCTTATAATTGAATTGTATGAGATATACATATTGTCTATAAAAACTATTGTAAAACTATTGCTATGAAATGAGGGTGTAAATATACTCTCTCTATTCCAAAATTATTAACCAGTTTGGATTTTCATTTTTAATTTAATTTGTACTAAAAATTAAAATCCAAATTGGATAATAATTTCGAGACGGAGGGAGTAGCTTAAGATTATCCAATATAATTTTGATTTTAGACAAACTTATGCCTCATAGAATTCTAATTGTGATAAGACTCCTACGCTACATAACAACTACTCCCTTTCTAGACTCTTCTGCTTTGATCCTTGTCACTAATGAAAACATGGCGCAATCTTCAGACATAATCCCATGTTTTTCCGATGAAATCAGTGAGAGTATCTTAGCCCGGCTTCCGGTAAAGACCCTTGTTAGATTCTCTTGCGTGAGTAAACCATGGTACCATCTCATATCAAGCAGAGGATTCATAAGGTCTCATGCCTCCCGGAAACAACCTCCCGGCAGTCTTCGGGAACGATTATTACCACCAAATCGGAGCAGGACCCGTCTTTTTGAACTGTGAGAGAAGTGGCAAAATCTGGGTAAACAATTAAAATTACCACCATAGACCAGGACAACAACTCTGTTTCAGCTGTAACAAAATCCCTGATTTCGTCAGCTGGATCAAAATCTCCAGCCCGGAAACGCTGAAGGAGCCCAGGGAGATGAACAAAACTCATTTTTACGTCTCAACACGACTTGCGTTGTAAGTTGTGTTGATGGGGTCTTTTGCATATTCAAAGAACGCCACAGGAATTCGGACATTCATATATACTTATGGAATCCTGCCTTGCGACAATGCATTTTGTTACATCGCAGTATGGCTTTTGATTTTGGTTTTGTTACTTGTGCTGTTGGTTTTGGGTTTGACACCGAGAGTGAGGATTACAAAGTTGCCAAGGTTTACTTCCATGAATCGCCGAATTATTCTGTCTACAAATTCGAGGTTTATAGCTTAAAAAATCATTCATGGACTACACTGATGTTGAATGTTAGTAGATCGCCTAGGCATAAAAATTCAATCTGACAATCCCTCCAGATATGGGTAGTAGTCCTCATAGTAATATGTGTCGACACAACCAGACTTGTCTATTTAACAATGGGTATCTGTATTTCATCAATGGAACAGATGAACAGAATCGCGTTCAGTTTTGCTATGTTCATCTGACTCAGGAAAATAGTTATGGTGAATTTGTAGTTCCCAGCTACGTCACCATTAAGGATGCTTGGTTGAGATGGTACAAAGGGTGTCTGTCCTTATTCGGATCCTCATTGCTGAAAGATGAGTTTGAGCTCTGGTCAATGACAGGGAATGATCATTCCGAGTGGGTGAAACAATTTGTCATACCGAGCAATTTAGATTTAAGGCCAGTCCACACTATGACTGATGTCACTGCGAGTGGGAAGATTTTGGGATACATTCATTGGCGTGAGAACAGGAGAAGCAGCGGCCTTGCTGTTTACGATCCAGAGAGTGGAGTAGTAGAAGAGCTGGCGAAAGATGGAGCTGTCAAGTACTGTTTAGTAGACAATTATGTCGAAAGCTTAGTTTCCGTGGTTCCGGATTCAGTTGGTGGTGGCGAAAGCGAAAAGGAATTTGTTGAACTTGAGCTTCATAAACCTGCACAAGAAGTTAGTTGTCTAGAAGATTTGCACAGCTTTTGTTTGGTTGTTTCGGTTGCTGCTCACCAGGACCCCCAGTACCGAGAGTTTAAGGGAGGTCTTTGGTTGTTTGAAATCTGTCCTTTGTTATTTCTGGTTTTCTGCAATAAACGTCTGTTTTATGCTTCTTTTCGGTGAATCGTAGTGCGTTGGGAATATTTGTGATCTAAGTGGTTTTGGTTTCATGCTTCTTTGCATTCCTACAGGTTCCTATATTCCTCTGTTACCTAATTTTACTTAGGTTGACTGACAGATGTTCTTTTTCTTTCAAAATTAGTTTTTAGGCATCTTAGCTGTTTCAGTTGTTCTTTTATTTCCTTAGCTTCTTATTGATGACATTGATAATGAACTGATCTACTACATGATACAGAGACCTGCAGGATCTATATGAAAAAACTGAATATTGGCGATACGTGCATAGGCAAACTGGGAATCTTCTGCTAAACAATTAGAGTAGCTACAGAAACAATGGCAGATAACTGAAATTAACCTAAGTGACATTGGAGGATATTCTTACCAAAGAGAACAATAGTGACTATATATAGTTTTGATTGCACCGTTGAGGAAACATTTTCCCTTTCCATTGATTATAATGCCATCAAACATGTAGTTGTCGTAATCATGATAATAATAGCACCAAATTAATCATTGTGAAGGGAAAATCGCCTTTCTAGTCCCAAATCTTTGGAAAACTAGCAGAATCTCTCCCAAAGATTTGGCTGATAAGGGAGACATTCTACTAGTTTCTCCAAGATGAACCACATGTTTCATATGACCATTACTATTAGGGGGACCTTTTCTTTTCTTGTTTGTGAGTTCTAAACTTCTAATCCATAATATAGCAAAAAGCCGAATTGTACAACAACAACAGCAACATAATGTACACCAGAAGAGCAATAATCCCACCGGCGATAGTGATAATCCAGCCGGAATAATCAAATTTTCACCCGATTTTATTCTCTCATATTATGCCTCTCACAAATCACTCCAGTGGAAAACTAGAATCACCCAGAAAAATAAATATTGGGAAGAGAAAAAAAAACAACATCATTCCGTCACGCCGGAAAAGCCCAACTCACCGTTTAAATCTCAGCAACAAGAGTCCGCGGCAGATGAGAAGAAGAATCAGAAGAAGACTGGCCCTCCATGTTTAAACTCTGGGCACAGTTATCAACGATGGCCGTCAGCTTATACGGCGAAGTATCGGTGGCCAACCATTGCTCCACCGTGAAGAGCTGCTGAGCACAAGCCTTGTGGACGCCGGTGGTGGTGAGCTCCAGATAATTGACGTACCATCCATGGTGAGGACCCGACCCGTCTGAAGTCAAGTTCAGGGCACAAACGGGTCCGGGCAAGCAAGGCGCCCTGCCGCTGAATATATCCAGATTTCCCCTCTCGAAGTAGTTGTAATCCGGACCCATTTGGCCGCCCCATGTCTCCACGTTCCCGATTTGGAGCCCGTACCCGTATGAATCATAGAAAGTCGCGGTTATTTTTGAATCCGTCCCGGCTTTCCAGATCGACCCGGTTCTTATGTAGAAAGTGTAAACACAATCTGGATCCTAAGATACATGGACAAAAACATTATTTAATCAGAAATTTTTTTCCGACGGTACAATTTTAAGGAAAAACAGAGCACCACCGTGTGAAAAATGTATGATTACAAAGTCAAAGGATGAATGTGATTGATCAAGAATACTTACATCGTCAGATCGGCAAACGGCGAGGGCGGAGGTGAGGATGAGGAAGAGACAGAACCATGGATGGCTGACTCCGGCGATGGCCATGATTTGTTTCTTCTTGTGATCGGAGTTGGAGTGAGTGAAGTATTGAATGAAGGAGAGTGTTAAGTATAATGGAAAATATATGATTGGTGGTGGAGAGAATTAAATATGGAACTCTGTGGTAGCTGGACTACGCGTACCAAAAGCAATAGACCACGTCCATTTGGCATTTAATTGTATAAGAGAACTTATACATAATCTCTTTTACCCTATTAAAGCACAATATAAGATCTTAATATAACGACTTCTTATTAAAAAATTTTGGCTCCAAATGCACCATATTGCATTAACCATTTTGTCACGTATCATCTCTTTTAAAAAAAAAATTTCTTATCCAGAGAAACAAAAGCTACTTTACAAAAATAGCTACACAATTTTAACTCCTAACACTTATCATTTATCAATCAAATTAAGATAGCATTTAAATTTCCCCATAAACTTATCCCCTTTATTACTCCACATTCTTTCGTATTATTTCTGTATCGTTGTACTTTTTAATTTTTTTTTCTCCTTTTGCAGATGATTTTTTTATTTTTATTTTTATTTTTAGCTAAAAAGAAAAAAAATAAATGTGTAGCTATTTTATTTTTTCCTAATCAAGAATTTATTTATCTATTAAAGCATCTAGTTCTATATTATATTATTATCCTCTTACTATCTTGTTATTACTCTATCCGTCCCAATTAATCGTCTGCTTTTTTAAAGAAGAATTTTATTAAACTCGCTGGAAATCAGTAAATCTTGAATGATACAAGAAACTTGATGGTAAGGAATTACTACATCAGTAACATAAGACTTCAAATTGTAGAAAAATTGAACAATTTAGAAAACTTGTATTCAAGAGGACTAGTTAGGGATTTATTGACCAATTTTGAAAAATTGTAAAATGGCAAAACGAAAGAATCTAAATAGAACGAGGGAGAAAAAGGCTAAGTGCCAAGGAGAAATGATGGTGAGTGGAAATTTTGTGGTGGAAAAAGTAACCAAAATTTTGTCTAATATACTTGGCTTTGCCAAATGTTACTCATCTACTGAAATGTCATCTTCAATTTCATAACGTACTAAAACAATTGTTTTTCGTTTTTTTTTTTTTTTGGTATCCTCATATCATATTTACTGTCTCCACTTTATACATTCATCACATATTCAGGCACTCCAAGTAAAAAAAGGAAAAAAAAAAAAAAGAAAGAAAGAAGGAAAGATAATCTCTCCCTATATTATCATAGAAATAATTTTATGTATCAACTAATAAATAAAAGTAGCGTAGTCAACACTACTAATATTATACTGAAATAAATAATTTTTTCTCTTAATGTTGTATTAGAATTTGAAGGAGGGTAATGCCAAATTCATTTGATCAAGTTTAACAGAAAAGGACATGAAAACGCCCAAGTTTCAACACTTGGCTTTGATAGAGACATTAAATCAATTATGTACGTGGGAAAATGGAGAGTTTTCTTTGTTATAAACGAAATCATGTTTCACACACGAACAGATCATACTGGGCAATAATTAGAGGGGAAAGATCTGGATCTTGTGGATCAGACTTTTGGCATATTCCCACGGTTCCGATCCGTTTTACAATTTTCTGAAATCTGGAGTACCAGCATACACAAGTTGACCAATATTATTAAACACTAATCCGCATCTTAGTTTTGGTTGTATTTGTAAGTAATCTACTTTTCATTTTATGATCGGTCAATGAAATCGCTGAAGTGAAATGGACGAGCAACAAAGTTACTCTCTCGATATCTTTCAGAAAAAAAAAGTATCCCAAAATTATTGTCAAATTTAGATTTTCATTTTTAATTTATTTAGATTTTGGGATAAAAAGAGTACATGTTAACGTGCATTCGCTCGTATTATAACAGTTGAGTACTTTGCAACGTTAGCATGCAGTCGATATACATGAATGAATGTTTGGATATTTCAGTCTTAAAATAATTGTTTAGTTTGGATTTTCAATTATAATACAAGTATATTAAAAATAAAAATTCAAAACAACTATATTAAAACAAAAAGAGTACTTATAGATTTACCACGAAAATCAAATAATTATCATCCGCATCTTTATACCATGATTAACCTAAAAATTCTTCTAGGTTTTCCCTTGCCGATTTATTATACTCAACTAAATTTGGGCTCTATTTGATAAAAATTAAATGCGGATTTGAAGTCTGAATACTGAATTCAAAACACTAAACTAATTAAGTTATCTTGTTTGATAAAAATCAAAATTTGAAGTCTTAAAAAAAAAGTGTGAATTATGAAGTTTGAATAGAAAAGTTTAAAGTTAGTAAAGGCGTTCCCCTTCCCCTATAATTTTCTAAATAAAAATAAATAAGATGTATGGAATTATCATGTAATCAAATAATAATATTATTATAAATTTATAAAATTAAGAAAATAAATTTTATGGTTAAAATGTAATTTTCTAATTTCTAATTATTTACAATTAACAATTATTTATCAAATTGACAAATGCTTATAGTGATAATATTGTATATATGTTTATCATGGATTTTATTTGCATTAATAATTTTTTTTTATAAAGTTATATGCCGATAGATTTAGTAATAAAGAATAATAAAAATACTTTTACCTACAAAAGTAAACACCAATATTAATAAGAATAGATAAACTATAAAACCTCAAAAACAAAGACATCAAAAAATAATTAAGAAAAAAAATGTTAAAATAATTTAGTAATAAGTGATAGACGTACCACTTAATGTGTATTCACACTTTTATTTACATTTCAGATACACCGTAATCTATTAATATATCCATTTGTTAGCTATGAAACACACATAAAAATTAAATCCTTAATTAGTAAAACTCTTGATACATTAAAATATCTTGAAATGAAGTTATCAAACAATACAAATTCATCCCTTTTTACTTTTTGAAAGGAGTTATCGCCTAAATTACATAGTCAATGCTACATCTTTTAATGTTAACTAAAATAAATAAATAAAAAAAAAAATTTTATTCCTATCTTCTCCATGCTTTGAATATGGTAATATAGTATCATTTAAGGCGTATTTTGGTGCTTGGAAAGTTGAGAAAATAAAGTTAACATTACAAGGATTTTAATTATGAGAAAATTTAATATTTTACTTTACTTTTTGATTCATAGGTGATGTGAATCAAATACACCAATTCTTATATGGTGCACATGTTCACCATACATGGTGCACTGGTCTAAGTAATGAAATCTAATTTTAGGAATAAATAATTGATTAAAATGTTACTAGTCTTAAATTAATCAATTCTCTTTCCACATTTAATATTCAAGCCAAAACATAATTACAAAGAAGATTCAAAAAGAAATAAATATTAATGAAGTAATATAATTCTATCGATACAAAAATCATAAAGGTTCATAATCATACAACAAAAATCCATGAGTAAGAATCATATTTTTCATATCAAATATATAGAAAATTCATAGCTGATTTAAAAATTGCACACATAATCACAAATGAAAGGTTTCATCATATTAATATTCTATTCTTATACAAACGCTATGGCTATACATGAAGATTATGTGTAATGTTCATGTACAAAATGAAGAAATTTCAATAAATTAATCAGGTGTAGGGTAATGTTCATACTCTTTACATGAAATATTCATGACTAACAGTCATAATTTTCAAATCATGCTATCAAGATTCACAAATTTTTCTTGAGATCTGGAAGATTAATGAAATTAAGAAATCTAAAGACTATATTCAGACCCATATAAAATAATGTTCATGAGAATTATACAAATTTTCATACAAAGAAAATAAAAATATTAATAAAATATTTAGAAATTCTTATATTTAGAGTTCATACTCATTCCTTGAAATATTCAGGAATTAGAATAATATTTTTCATGACGCACACATATATGTATCAAAATTTCACAATTTTTTATTAAATTTAAAGTGTTCCCTAATTTCAAATTGCTTTAGTAATTATGAACAAAGGAGAAAATTACAAAATTATTGGAATATTATACGAGAAATTAAAGGATGAGAGAGAATCAAGCAATTTAATAATGTTTTTATTACATTTTCATTCTATAAATAGATTCTATTAATTAGACAAGTGTACTATATATGGTGAACATGGTGCACCATATAAATTGTATTTATGTGCGAGTTTACATCTCATTTACTCCTATTTAGACTCATCTAAATGGTTTTAATTGTCATAAATGCACATTTTTTATATTTTGTTATTTATCATTGTAGAGTGGCTAAATAGTATGTAAATGGAGAAACTTCATCAAAGGTGCCGAAGAGGCACTAATGTTGATCAAAGGCAAAGCAGTCCTGTTTGGAAGGCCATATTCAGAGGTCCACAACACTGATTAAAGGTTCTTCATATCATTGCAAAACTGAAATTGAGAGCTGCATTTTTCATGTGGAAGCATCTCCAAGTTCAGAACATAAAGGGGCCAAAACTGCCTTTGAAGTGCTGTTGTCAGAATTGAACAACGACTGTCCAAAAACTTCTCCAAGCAGTAGTCAATTTTCGGAGATCATAACTTGAGATCCATAACTCGGATTTATAATTTGTTTATATGGTTACGAAGCTGAAAGAACGAACTACAATTTCTCTTCAAAAGCCAGTCTCAAATTCCAACTAAAAGTAGGCAAAAAAATGCACTGAATAAAAGCACTTAGGACTGGAAACCTGGAATTCCAGTAAACACTTTTGAATGGGCAGCCATAAACCATCCTTAATTTGGTCTGAAATTCGCTATGAAAACCATGGAAAATCTGGAAGAAAAGTGACCGGAGCATGAAGGACTCGACTGGAAGTGATTTCATGGGAGGAATAAACCCAAAACAACGGCAATCGTGGCTTCTCTGGTGAGAAAGAAATGAACTGGAGCAGCAGCAAATTAGACTAAATTGAGAAAAGATGTCGGGGTTTACTTTGCGCGATGAGCAGAGCATTTTTGGTGTGTTTTACCTGAGGAATCAAAGCCTAACAAGCTGCGGCAGTGGCGGAATCCGGCGAGAAGTTGGCGGCAGTAAGGTGTGTTCGTCCGGGAAGAAGAAGAAAGTTCTCCAAAACTTCAAATTTGGTCCCCAGCTCAAACTTATTTTCCCGCGTGCCTTAAGGTTTTAAACACTGCAAGGTTAGTTCAAATCT